GGATCGCGGCATTAAAAAGGTTGAGAACCACTGTTTTAAATGCTTACATTCATAGATGGACATGCTTGTATGCAGTTCTGTAACAGATTCAAGCATGTTTAATGACATCGATGCCAAATTATGGTAATTAATACATTCAATTATTGTAATTTATATTTTTATATAAAGCAGATATATGAGTAAACTATGGAGTCAGCAGTATGTTACTTGGTATGAAACAGTATTCATTAAAAACCTAAGAATATTGTTTATCCCAATGAAGTATTTTGGGGATATAGTCAAAAAGATATTAACAAATTTATAGAGGCGGCTGTAGACAAACCTTGATGTATTCTTGCAAAAATCCACAACTGTGACTACATGGAGGTTCTATTAAGCAGTACCTAGCAACAACAGGTTTCTAGAAAATAATAACAGATGAAAGTTTTGGCTAAAATAACCTACTTTCAACTATTCCAAATTGAAGGTTAGCCATGCTTTTGAAATCTGAAGGTTAGTTGCAATGAGTAAGATACATTGGATTGTTCATGAAGACTAAACACTGTCCAAACAATCCAATACTTTAGTAATGTTAGTAGTATTTACTAAAGTTAGTAATATTATAATCTAGCAATTTATATGGAATGACAAAAGTATTTAACTAAGTTTACATGTGAATATATTGTCAGTTTATTTCTGAACCTAATTTAAAAAGCTAGCATTGGCATGTAACATAATACAGGTCTATATTTCTTCAACAACATTCTTTTTATACAAGTAGTCCTTGACTTACAACAGTTCATTCAGTGATGGTTCAAAGTTACAACCACACTGAAAAAAGTGACTTATGACCATTTTTCACATTTACGACTGTTGCAGCATCCGCATGATCACATAATCAAAATTCAGATACTTGGCAAGTAGCTCATATTTATGATGGCTGCAGTGTCCTGGGCTTATGCAATCACTTTTTGCAACTTTCTGACAAACAAAGTCAGTGGGGAAGCCAGATTCACTTAACAGCCCTGATACTAACTTAACAACTGTAGTAACTGACTTAACACCTTTGGCAAGAAAGATCATAAAATGGGGCAATGGGGCAAAACTCACTTAACAACTTAACAATACGAACAAGGAATGTATATCGGAGAGTGTATATTTGAGAGCTGTATGCAACGAAATTTCATTTTGATGTATGCCAATTGGTGTACATTCAAAGTGACAATAAAATTATTATTATTATTATTATTATCATCATCATCATCATCAAACTGTCTCACTTAGCAACAGAAATCTGGGGCTCAGTTATTGTCATAAGTCGAGGATTATCTGTATTTTTCCTGTTTTCAAAGTTCATAGGAATTTTTTGTTAAAAAAATGGAATATACATCTAATTATTATTGCGAAAAGAAGTAATGTTAGCTTAACGGAATAGATCTTGTAGTACTCTTAGAATTTTGAAATTCTCTTCAGGATAAAAAAAAACCCTCCCTTTTTACGACCTTATAGTCCAGAGATGGCGAACCTTTTAGAAACCGAGTGCCCAAACTGCAACCCAAAACCCACTTATGTATCATTGGGTGCTGGGTGGGTGTAGCCCATTGGGTGGACGTGACTGCAGTGGTAACGGCAGACTAGGTGGGACTAAAAAGTTCAATCAATCAAACTTTGTGAGATCTTTTTTTTCCCCATAAATTGAAATTGATTGATTGAACCTTTTTTTTTTGCACACGGCGGTGGAGGCCTAAAGCGAAAAGGTTTTATAAAACCCAGCTGAAGGCCTAGGACTGGGGTGACGGTGTGCGTGCCCACAGAGAGGGCTCTGAGTGCTGCCTCTGGCACCCTTACCATAGGTTCGTCACCATTGTTAAAGTTCCTATTTGGGGTAAAGTTGGGGTGACTGGATGAAGCTGAGCGTTTACTGTCTGGATGTCCTTCCTGATGTCTACAAGTTTGCAGCAGATATTTTTTCTTTGGTTGCTAGGAGAGAAACATCTGCTGCTACCTAGAATTGAACTCTCAACCTTCCAAATGGGAGGCAAGCGTCCTCAGCACTAAGCCACCACGCTACTCAAATTCTCTTCTAGATAAATAATACAAATCCCCCCCAAAAAATCCATTTCTTCAGATTTATTGAGTATTACAAGGTTAAAGTTTTGTTCCTAGAATGGTACTGGGATATATCAGTACCAAATGTGATTCTGCCTAAATGTCTAAAGATGGCGCTGTTAAGTCCACCTTGAACTTAAGCATAGGTTAGGACAGAGAGGCCTTTTCAGCCACCACACTTTGGAATATGTCCTTGCAAGTATGCTTGGCCCTTATCCTTCTCTCATTCAGGAAAGCTCTAGAGATCATTTTCTATCATGAGACCTTTGGCCTGTAAATCAATTATTGCCATCTTCTACATTATATTCTTATTGTGGTTGTTATTAATATGTTTGAGATATTCTGTTTCTGGTTTGCTCCTTATCTATCATTGATTATAGCATCAAAAGTCTGCTGTAGCCTTTAACACTGAAGATTATGAAACAAAGGTAAAAAAATATTTTAAATAAATTGAGCATGAAATAATACAATCTAAACAGGATTATATTAAAAATAACCCTGAAACTGTCTTGTTCACACCATTCAATTTAAAATGCAACTTCTAACTATGGGTTCTAAATTTGCTCAGTTCAACTATATTACTGTTAAAGCTCATCTCAATTCCAAATCATGACACAGCAAACTGTGATAAACGAAAGAGATGGAAATACTTCTAATCTTTCCCTTACAACAGTAGTAAATAACAATGTTCATTCACATATCTACACACTACACCGTGGTTTAACAGTCTCCCCCCATATAGCTAAATATTTCACACATGTTCAACTGCCACGTGAGAAAAATGTCAGATATTAGTAGAGCTAGCTTTGCACTTATCTCACATACTTTACATTCAAAGGGAACTAGTTCCTTATGTATTTTCTAATATTTTCACAACTCTCCTTTACTGCAGAAATACTACCAGCGAGAATGTTCTGATTTTTGAACTCAATGTTTTAAAAACTATCTAGTTCAACTGTTCAACCAAGTTTTGTCATACTTTGTTTCCCAAAATTATATTGTATATCCTATCTTCCAAAATTATTCATTTGCCTATGTCATATTCTTGACCATTATTTAATCAAAGATGGATTTTCTTTCAGCAATCAGTACTGCTAAGTCTTTGTGGCATATTCTCTGTAAGCTCCTTCAGTGTGTGTTATAATTATTGCAGTTACTATTTCATTAAGATAATAAATCAATTGCTATTATTTATTTGGTTATTTATTAAACAAATTACTCACACATGAGTGACTCCTGGCAGTTTTCAAAATTTTAAAAATCTGCCATGTAATAAAAACTCATTAAACCCACCCACCCTCATAGCAGCAGCAACACAATCAAATTAGTGACTCCATTCATGTTCCACAGGCCTCCTGACAAAACCATGTTTTTACCTTCTTATGGAAAATCAACAGAGTGGGGGCCATTTATTAGATTTTATCTGCCTGTATTATTTTTTTATGTAAATGAAGGAAGAAAATATACATGATACTCCTATTTTCCTAACAAAAGCCTGTCAGGCAGTCAGGCCTGTCAGGCAGTGTGACTATACCAAAATCATCCAGCCAGTTTTCATGCCTATGGTGGGACTATAACTCAAATCTACCGGTTTCTATCTAAAAATTGGGCAATAGCCTTCGCATTTATTCAACCTATGATGGTTTTACACCTATACCTTGTTGTCAATTCACAGCTGACTAGGCTCACATACTGTACTAAGTCAAAACACAGTTTACTTTTTTATTGTGTTGTGTGAATCCAATCATTGGGATTTGTAAGCTATAGTACATGATTTTGTATAAACCCCACAAGTTAAAAGTTTGTTTAGGATAGGGATAATATGATGTGTGAACTACATCTATGCCTACTTTACATTAGTTTGGATGCATAGTACCTAACTGAAGGGAATGATTTTCCAGTTGATCTCTTGCAGAATGTATGGCAAATTTAGTCTAAACAAGCCAGGAAGAAGTTTCTATTGTATTATGAAAATAGGCATATGGAATTTATTCTAGTTCTTTCACAATATCTATTAAGTTCATAAAATTCTAGATAGAATACATATATTAAACATATAAATAAGCAACTACAAGCTGTTTTCCCCTTTTGAGAATTCATCAATACAATCTTTATTTGCTTAAATGATTTATATTTCCAACATCTGTGTACAGGATTAAGCACAATTGCCTGTCATTCTTCTGAGCTGTATTCTGATCATTGAATGGTGGGAGTTACCAAGCATTATCAGTTTCTCTATAATGCCTAGGCTAGTGCAGTATTAAAAACTACACAATCATCCATTTACAGTACACCCTACTACCTAACTCAGATATTAAACGCCATTCTTACGCTCGACAAATTGGTCAACGGTTTCTCCTTCTTGGACTTGGTAAAATGTGTACTTGGAAAATTAAGAGCTGTTTGCCTAAAAAAAAAAAAAAAAGACCCAATCCCTTACTGAAGAAAATAGCACAACTGTGTTACGAGTTAAAAGAGAGGATATACGGCAACTGGGAATATACACACGCTCCTCTGAATGCAGAGCCCTGTATCATCCACCCAGCCCGAAACGTTATCAATATGCCGCATGGAGAGAGAGAAGCCCCTATCCGCTTGGTGATCTGTCAGAGCCAAGTGAGCCTTCACCTTACCGAAGCTTTGTTTCGCTCACCCGGACCCTGCAAACTATCTAGTAACTCATGCCGTAGCTAATAAACCCCAACGCCAGTCTCAAGCCCATTTCGCCCGTCTCCGGGCGCTTCCCCGGATAGGAGACATATGGGAACCCGGTGCTCAGCGAAAGGCCTAGGTGTGTTCAGGCCAAAAAATACATGGCAATGTGTCGAACACAGACAAGGAGAGAAAACTGGAATCTCAGCAAGAAGTCGCGTCTGAAAGAGAAGAGACAAGCCTCCTAACAGTCGGTTTACCTGAGGTCGCGGACGGAGAGTTTCTCGGATCCAAACCCAAACCTCAGCACCAACAACACAAGATGGCTACCGCGCTATCACGCAAGGTCATGTGACCTCAGTGCCGTGGCCCCGCCCTCTTTCGGTAAGAGGAAGCTGTTCGCGGAATACGGAAGAGCGAGTCTTGGAATGCGGCGCTAGTTTGCCCGCCTTTCTTTTTCACCTTTGTTTTACTCTTCTTTTTTTTTATTGAAAGTTTATAAAATTTTACAATAAAATACTCCCCCCCTCCCAACCCCCTCCCCCCTACTTCCCAGAGCTGAATACAGGGTTAAAAACAACAAAAAACATAGAACTTAAATAAACATCAAACAATTATACATACATCCAAAAAGCAAAATTTTAAACACTTTAACTCCAATACATAAAAACAAAAATTACCATCCTTAAGCGTAAGTTATTCAAAAGCTTACCCTTAGATATACATTATTCAAAAGCTAGATAATACTTTCTAATATATTTATTCTGTATAAAATTCACCCATCTTTTCCACACCAAAATATATCTCTCTTGCCATTGGTCTTTCAGATATGCCGAAATTTTTGCCATTTCAGAAAAATAAGAAACTTTAAGAAACCATTCTTCTAAAGTAGGCAAGAGATCCTTCTTCCAATATTGCCCAATCAGCAACCTTGCTGCTGTAATTAAATTCAACATTAAAATAATCTCTTTACCATCACTATTTTACTCTTCTTTACGACACAGCCGCGCTCTCCAAAATCCTAAACTATAAGCGATCTCTTATGTTCATAGCGCCTGGGCTCAGCTAATACACTTCGTCAAACCAAGAAAGCCGACTGTGGTTTAGCGATGTGATCATAATGAAGAATTCCTTCGCCCGAAGAGGAAATGCCTTGATCTGTCACGTTTTTTAGATCCGTATGTTTTTTTATTTCTTCAGTATCAGGCTGCCAAAAACGAAAGTCATGTATGTCTGGTATTTTCTGAATTTCATTACGTTGCATTTGGATTTAATTTTCATCGTAAACTTAATGGATATAAGTTTTCAACATGTAACAACACATAGCAAAGGATTCCTAACACAGCACACTACGTAGGTCTTATATTTATTTTATTGCAAAAGGCAGATTCCAAGAGCAAAGACCATTAGATAGTTCCGAAACAGTTCCGTAATTGGATAATCATACATGGCAGTTGCAAATTACAAGGTTCAACCGGAATGTTGGTCATCCATTCCAGTAAAATTTCTATCTAGTTCTTCTTGCTTAGTTTCTGTCTTCAAGCAAGAACAGCCTATAATTTTATTTCAGAACAGATGGAGTCAGGAACTCAAAAGTTCCCACACCTGGTTACACCCAATTTGCCCATTGTATCTTACTTTTTCCTGTCATTTCCCCAAGTTGCTCCTTCTTTACAGATACTAACCGGGATTAGAGCTCTACTTAGCAATGGAATTTTTGGGCTCGGTTGTGGTTGTAAATCAAGGATTACCTATAAACCCAACTAAATAAATGAACAAAGCAATCTCTAAAGCACGGGTGTCAAACTCGCCACGTTACATGATGTGTCGCAACGTATTGTGACTTTTTGCATTGCTGGAGCTGGGGTGGGCGCGGGTTCCGTATGATGCAACCAGCCCGCGGGCCGGCAGTTTGACACTCCTGATCTAAAGGATACATTGCAGTCATCTAGTCTAAATAATGCAAGAGTTTTAATTAAATGCAATCAGATTCTGCCTAATATATTGCAAATAAAGTATCAATCCCAGCTGGTAACAGGAACTAAATGTTACTTGTATTTTAAGATTTGTGTTCTTTTTCTCTCTTTGATCTATCAATAGCATGTCTTTCATTTAATTTGAAATGCATAGACAGACGCAATTTGGTAAGGATGGTATTCTTCATTTTCGATATAGGCTTTTTTTACAGTGATAAGTGTATTAAATTTTTAAAGATCAGAAATGAGACCAACCATTCTTTAAAAAGTATTTGCCATTTATATGGATATTTATATTATTCATGGTTTTTAGGAGCTCAAAGCAGCACGTATACCATTTTCTTTTCCCATTTTCCCCTACAGCAGGGGTGTCAAACTGCCAGCCCATGGGCTGGATGTGTCACATCAAAACCGCGTCCACCCCATTGCCGGCAATGAGGAAAAAGTCATGATACGTCATGACATGTCATGTGATGTTGCAAGTTTGACACCCCTGCCCTACAGCAACAACCCTATGAGATTGGCAGGGTACCAAACACTAACTTTCCGTAGCTGCAGTTGAACCTAGTGTTCTGATGCCAATCCAGTTCCTGAATGACTACATTACATTGGCTGTCAAAAATTGTTAAATGTTTGTATCTTCTTTCCTCCAGGATCTCTGAGGATAAACACAACATTCCTTCTCCCATTTTTAACAACATTTGAGGATGGACTGAGAATGTGTGACTAGCCCAAAGTTATCAGTGAACTTTTGTGACAGAATTAAACCTGAGGCTCCCTGACCTTAGTTCAGCCTCTTAGGTGCTACACTTAACTATCTTTCAGCTCTCATATGGCTATTATATAAATAATTATAAATAACGGTATGATGTAGTGGTTAAGGTGCTGTCCAGAAACCAGGTGACTATGAGTGCTATTCTCCCCTTAGACATGAAAGCTGGCTGGATGACTTTAGGCTACTTGCACTTTCTCAGCCCAACTTATCTCACAGGATTATTATTGTGGGGAAAATAGGAGGAGGAGGAAGCAATTGAGCGTTGGCTTACCTGAACGTCTTTTCTCAGCATGATGAAGAAGAATCCACCAATGGGTTGTTTCAGTCCTCCTGCCCAATCAGACCAAATTGTCAAGTTGTCACGCCTCCTCATTATCTGGGGACCTCCCAGTTTTCATCGATGGGTGAAGCCATTGACAACAGTACGACGTGATGACTCTCAAGCAGGTAGTAACGATAACTAACAGAACAATCATCCCACCTGGACCTGACTGACTTCTACTTAGGGAGGGCGTGGATTCTTCTTCATCATGCTGAGAAAAGGCGTTCAGGTAAGCCAATGCTCATTCTCCAGCATGATGTCAGAAGAATCCACCAATGGGACATACCAAAGCTTCTCGAGTCCCTAAGGGTGGGAGTCAGTAGGGGCGGGGGCCCCAGATGGTGTGACTACTTGTTGTAGGATACGTCTACCAAAGGCGGCCTCAGCCGAAGCAAACTTGTCTAAACGGTAATGTCTAATGAATGGAGATGGCAACGACCATGTCGCCGCCCTGCATATGTCCTCAATGGACGCCTGTGTTGCCCACGCCGCAGTTGTAGCAGCACTGTGGGTAGAGTGAGCCGTCACATGAGGAGGAACTGGTAAGGCCAGAGAGACATAAGCGCTTGAAATACAGGCCCTTATCCACCTCCCTATGGTGGAAGCTGAAACTTTTTGCCCCATAGACGAAGGCTGAAAGGACACAAATAGGGTTTCCGACTTACGGAAGGGCTTAGTGCACTTGATATAACATCGCAAGGCCCTCCTTACATCCAAAGTGTGCCAGCGTTGTTCTAATTCATGTGACGGGTGAGAGCAAAAATTTTGGAGGATAACCTCATGTGCCCTATGGAAACCCCTGTTAACCTTTGGAATAAATGAAGGGTCAAGCCTGAGAACTACCCTATCCTCGTGGAACGTACATAGGTCTTTTCTAACCGACAAGGCTGCTAACTCTGAAATGCGCCTGGCCGAGGTAATGGCAATGAGAAAGGAGACCTTGAATGACAAATGTCGTAATGAGCACGTTTTGAGTGGTTCAGAAGGAGAAGATGTTAGAGCTTGAAGCACTCGGGGTAGGTGGATACCTGTGAATTACAGGCGGTCTGGTATTTGAGACCCCTTTAAGAAAAGCCCGAATGGCTGGATGTCTTGATAAGGAGCCTGAGGAGTCCCATGACAAAATTGAGGACAGGGCTGCTAACTGTCTGCGCAAAGTTTTGGGTGCCAACCCCTTGTTGATGCCCTCCATTAAATATTCCAGAACCCTGGGAATCGTCACCTGTGACTTACGTGTTTCTTGTCACACCATTGACAGAAATGCTTCCACATACGGTCATAAAGCCGGTTCGTTGCCGGTCTCCTGGCTACCTGTATCATAGCAATCACCTCCGCTGAGTAAGATTCCCTGGTTAGGGTGCAGTGTTCAAGTGCCAGGTGGTCAGTTGAAGCCATTGTGGATCTGGATGTTGTAGATCTCCCTGTATCAGCCTTATTTGGCTGTCCGGAATCCTCCATGGAGCTGAAAATGAAAGACTCACCAGATCCGCGAACCATGGTCTCCTGGGCCAGTAAGGGGCGATGAAGATCACCTCCGCTTGTTCCTCCAGAAGCTTCCTGATTGCTGCAGGAAGTAGAGGCAATGGGGGGAAGGCATACAATAGGCCTTTTGGCCACCTGCTGCGAAGCGCGTCTGTTCCCTCTGCTCCCTGAGAAGGGAACCGGGAGAGGAATCTGGGAAACTGAGCGTTCTCCGGGGCGGCAAACAGGACCATGATCGGACTGCCGAATTTGGCTGATATCTCCCTGAAGATATCTGGAGAAGCATCCACTCCGAATGATCTATTGTCAACCTGCAGAGGAAATCTGCCTGTCGATTTGCCTCCCCCGAAATGTGTTCGGCTCTGATGGAGAGCAGGTGTTTCTCTGCCCAGGCGCCCAATGCTCGGGCTTCTGTCATGAGGGATTTTGACCGTGTGCCCCCCTGCTGGTTCACATGGGCCTTTGCAGCCACGTTGTCTGTTCGAATCAGTACATGCTGGTCCCTGACTTCTGTGTGGAATTTTTGAAGAGCTAGATAAATCGCTCTGAGCTCCAACCAATTTATGTTGTGTTTGAGATCTGCTTGCGACCACCGACCCTGAGCTATCCGAGATTGGAGGTGAGCCCCCCAGCCGAAGAGACTGGCGTCCGTGGTCACCTGAAGGCGGTTGGGTTCTTTGAACAGGGTCCCTTTGCTGACGGCCGATGAAGTCCACCAGCCAAGGGAAAACCGTACTTGATGGGGAACCCGAACCCATCTGTTGGACGTACTGGTATGCTGTCTTTGGTATGGGAGAAGT